ACCACCCTCCTAACTTCTTCCATGGAGGGCTCCCGGAGAAGGGCCTCTCCCGCCGATCTCAGGGGGCGGCTGGGCATATAAGGATGTAAGCGCTCCTTCAGGTAACCAGGACCCCTTCAGGTAACTAGCTTCAAATCCCCTGTGTGATTTTAGCTAGTCACCATCTCTGTCTAACTTACCTCATAGCTCTGTTATACTAATAAAATTAGGGGAGAAACATGTATGGTACTTTGAGTTCCTTGGAGAAAATGCAGGTTATAAATGTAGCAAACAAACCCTGCAATTCACCACTTGTCCCCAGTTGAAAGTGGGATAGAAGAGGATAAGAGTAAGAATGAAATTCATACTTGCTGGCTTTTCTTTGAGCAAATGTATGACTAGAAATAGCAGTAAAATGGAAGTCGGAAAGAGAACCATCCCTACATCTCTATCTGGCATAATTTTGGAAGTTTGCTTCAGTGGGAAAGCTTTCAAAGCAATTTTGTATTCAATGCACCCCACAACAGACCTACATTTATGCCATCTGTTCTCCTTTCATTGACTGGATTCACACAACAACCCACCATGGACAGCCAGCTATGGTAGGTTGTCATGTCTCTGAACTCAAAAGTGTTCTCTGAGGGGTGACTCATTTACTGGCAACAAGCCATGCTGAGAACCCAAATCTTATTGTAGGGTTGTCATATTAAGGTGGAGATAACTGTGTCACCCGTGCCCTTTAGTGCACCTTCGTTTGCCACTTTCCCCCTCTTTACCAGTGCTTTTCAACTTATTCATTTCATTTCAACTGACAACTTGGCAACTGGTCCCTGGCAACTGTGTGCAAATGAGCCTATATGCCGTCTCACCTCGTCAATCTCTTACCTACTCCACTTTCCTGTTCCCTTTGACAGCTGAAAGGAAAATGATCGGGCAAAACTACATGTACTGAACACCTGTAAGAGCCCAATTTTAAAAGACAGGGAAAAAAATCATTTAAACAAACCACAAACACATTTGTGCAATATTCTGGTGTCTAAATTTCCTTTTTGAAAGGGTTGCAAACCACTCCAAAGTGTGGCTTGTAATCAGGGGATGGGTTGTCACTGGTGGGGTCAAGGGTGTGATGTCAAAGACAAGCAGAAAGTTTCCCCACTCTTGCCAAATAACTCTCTTGCTGATTCCTACAAGTCTTGGCTTCCTGTTACATGTGAAGTCTTCATTTACTTATTTTTGTTGGTAACCCGTACCTTGCACTATTACACAAAGCTCATGACACTCTCAAGTATAAAACTGAAGCAAAAGCATGAAAGGTATCGAAATCTCCAAGAAATGCTGTGCAGCAGATCTCTTTCCTTTGAAATGCAGCTCTCCTGTGGCAAGAGCCATGCTGTGCAATGTCAGAGGTCCTCTTTGATTAGCCTTTGCACTCCCCCAGATGTTCTGAAACAGCACTAGCTGTGAATTTTAAACAGCATTTATTACAAGTATAGTCTGTATTATTGAAAAGCTCCAGAAAGCCTCCCATCTAGCCACTGACCTGGCCAAGGCCTGCTTACTTTTAAGAGAGAACAGCATTGTACACTCTTGACTATCCTCTGGAATAATGTGTTAATAGTGGCAGTTGTTTTAAAAGCACAACAATTTAAATAGCAGGTCTGTTGTAGTTTTATCCCTTCTTTCTGTGGCAAGCACATTCAAGGAGATTTAGCGAACAACTGCATGGACTAGATGCACAAAGGTCAGTGGCCCCAATGCCAGTACCCTTCTGTCCATCCAAAATCCTACTGGGCTGTGGCTGGCTGGGCAGAAGCAGGAACAAAGACTACTTTACTTCTCCATTTAATGTTTGTGAAGAAGAAAAGACAGAGCCTGAGAGGTCATTAGATCAAACAGATCCAGTCTTCCTCACCACACCCGTTCCCTCCCTTCCATGGCAGCTAAGAAGCGCTTGGTGGAGTAAGAAATCCACTGCACCCTATCTAACCCCCAAGACAATGTTTACAGGTCATAGTATTGCACTCAAATTTAAAAAAGGTAAAATATATATAGTATAATAGAACACATCAGCACCCAGAAATCATCATAAATGCAAGCAAAAAACTATGCATTAGGCAGAAAGGGCAGCTCCATGTAAAGTATATTATAGCCTAGTGGTACTAGGTCATACATGACTGAGGCTATTTCTTCACAAGGAAAAGCAGAGCTAGCAAGTCAAACTAAGCTGGTAAAAGGTACTCTTGGCCACCAATGTCACCTGCACATATCTCCGCAAGGATCAATCCAGGAGTACCTCCAAGCTCCAAATCTGCTTCTTCAGGAGTTGGGCAATTCCACCTAACACAGGCTGAATACTTCTTCCAAGACTGTCAGCCTATGAACCATCAGAACCACCATGTTACTGAATTAAGCTTTAGTTTGCTCACCTTATCCTTTCCAAAACTATACCCACAACAGTAGCTTAACATTTCCAGTGCATCCCCCAAAACAGATAACAGAAACAAAAGATGGATGCCAACCAATCTCTGAGTGACCTTCTGGCAATTTCATGTATATATTCTAAACCACCCTACTCTCCTCCCGTGTGGCAGAGCATCAGTTCACCAATACCAACTTCTGCAAAAGACTCTTCAGGAAGGATTTAGGCCACTAAGAAAATAAATCCTAAAGCCTATCCCCACAAGGAGGCCCAGACAGACATCAGGGTAAAGAGTCTTAAAAACTGCAGAGACAGTATTTACAAGGCAAGGCAGGGGCAGGCGTGTGCAGAGATCATTTTCTCTCAGTCCAAAACGATCTCCTTGCGAGCCAAGCTGCCACTGGGTTCGCACACAGCAAGGTGCCGGCTTGCCCACAAGGAGATCCTTTTCTCCAAGCGAGTCCAAAATGATCTCCTCGCGAGCAATCTGGCACCTAGCCACACACATCCGGCGAGTCCAAAACCTCTATGGTGGGCTGGATAAATGGGCATGGCAGGCCGGATCCAGCCTGTGGGCCGTAGTTTGAGGACCCATGCCATAAAGGAAGCTGTAGCCCGGAATTTACAATTGCTTAGGAAGGCTGTCACGGCTAGGACATTTTGAAGGGGTTTCTCTCATAGGATAGCCATAGATCAGAGATTACTTGATGGCATACAACAACCATATAACAGTTTGTGCACACAAACAGAAAGGTAACAGGTTTTTTTTAAATTATATGATCTCCATTTCTGGATTATTTAAGCAATATGTCACAAGACCATGGGCAGCTTGTCATGTCATGTGAAGCCTGTGGGGGTGGAGTCTGTGTGAGTTAAACAACATTTACATAATCACAAAACAGCCCATAGAATCTGCAAAGGTTTTTTAACCCTTGCAGAATACACTGTTGCCAGGTTTGGCTGACACAAGGAACTTTAGTCATGGCTTGACTATTCAAAATGGCTACTGGCAA